GAAAGAGAAATTGTTGCTAGCCCTACTCTGGGGCCCTTCAGCTGGTGGATTAGGGTCCACCGCTGGACAGCTTCTTGAATGCAGCAGCACTGCCACCCCACATATAGGTAAAATTAAAAAAGGAAAAGTGGATCCTGAAATGCATGTTTGGGATGAAGGTGGGTCTCTGGAAACCAGTGTTCTCTTATTTATTTATTTATAAAAAATATTTATATATCACTATACAGAGGCATACCTCAGCTCCCTTGCGCCTTTGCCTTTGGCAAGGAGCTGTATTGTTGCCTCTGAAGCAGGAGAGACCATAGACCAGAAATTCAAAAAGCTTGCTTTTTGTTGCCTTTTGTACTCTGTCCGTGACTTCCTCTGTGGCCATTGGGGTTGGGTCTGTTCTGCCTCACCTTCTCCTCTATCAGTCCATCCATCTGCCTGCCTGCCTCCACTCACCGCTTTCCATTCTGCCTGCCTGCCTGCTTCCTTCCTTCCTTCCTTCCTTCCTTCCTTCCTTCCTTCCTTCTCAACTTGAGTGGCATTGACTGAGAGCATGGCAAGCAAACTGTACCTTCTGTTTCTCCCAGCAGCAACCACTAGAGGGATACAGAGAATAACACATTTTGAACAGGTAGGTAGCCGTGTTGGTCTGCTGTAGTCGAAACAAAATAAAAAAATTGTATCTGAAGAAGTGTGCATGCACACGAAAGCTCATACCAATAACAAACTTAGCTGGTCTCTAAGGTGCTACTGGAAGGATTTTTTATATTTTGTTTTGACTACGGCACACCAACGTGACTACCTACCTGTAACTAGAACTATGGAAGGCACCACACTGAGCCGCATGAAATGGAAGTCCATCAACCTCACCAAGAAAAAAAAGCAGTGTATCTGAAGAAGTGTGCATGCACACAAAAGCTCATACCAATAACATTTGGAACATTGAGGCACTATATAGTGTTTGGTCTTGTTTTCAATTATCAGAGTCTATTTTATGTTAGTGGCTATAACTGGCTTTGAAAGCTAAGTCAGGTAAAAATAAACAAAAAGAGAAGAATAGTAGAAGAATAAACACAAACACTTTCCTATCAAAGCCCTAGAAATATAGGTTGCAAGGACAGGTCTACCACAAAGCAAGCAATATTAAGCAGGTTTTCCCAGGTGACAGATTTGTTTTCCTGCCTCCAGCCTCCATTTAGTTTTTAAACTAGATAAATCAGTGCCATTCAAAAGGGAAGGTGTGGGTGTCTTCTTCATTTTTTCATTTCTCATGCAAAAAATTATAGGACCAGTACTAAGAGTTTACATCCTCTGCCATAACTACACTAGTACTGTATTGCATTGTCTGAAGCAGGAGTGCTAACATCACAATTTTTGTATGAATGGTGCATTGTTGCTGCCCTCTTGTGGATGCACCACTTCAGTTGAAACATTAGGCTTTCTGCCCTAAAACTGAAATACAATATGAAGTGAGCTGACTCTCCCATGGAAATTCCTCCCCAGCTCAAAATGGAAAAATGAGATCTCGGTACCTGCGTAATCTGCATTCACAGAATAGTCCTTCAAAGGCATTTACCCTAAAGGTGCATGCTTAAAAGTGGTTGACTCTGAACTGGCAATTGAATGTGTTGCTTTCTCTCTGTGCAAGTGACATGAACATTGTAATTTAGAAAATGAGACCTTTCTGGATAAAGAACTAAAGGAATTGATTCAACTGCCATGCCAAGTTTGAAGACAGGCATGTATCTATAGCAATTAATCTGCTGTGATGATGCCACTCCTGCCAACAGAGCCATCACCATGTTTGACAACAAGGGGCACCAGCCAATCACTAAGCAAAGGGCTGTGATGCATAAAATACTGTACATGGAATGTTATATGGAGGACCAGCATAAAAGACAAAAGCACAAAACAGTAGGTATGGCTGACCTCAGCATGGAGATGTACAAACAGGCAATACTGTGCTTTGCCTGTTGTGCAGTTGTTGGAGGTGTAGCACCTTTGAATGAAGGAAAGAAACTTGGCAGACTTTCCCACTGATTGACAGACTTGCACATCTTTAGCAACCTTTATTAACTGTCTCCCACACATAGAGAGGTCTGCAGTGCCTGGACTTGTTTCAGGCTCAACTTCATCAGTAAATTCAGTAAAGTGAAACAAACAAACAAACAAACAAACAAACAAACAAACATGAAATAAACTTAGAGTAATGCAAGGTGTGGTCCCTGCTTCTCTGCTTGGCTCATTTACATCAAGCCTAGGGGAACACCAGCTAACCAGCTACAAAGGTTGTTTCTGCTAGAGATCATCAGGGTGGGGGCCTTGTTCAGAGGTGGTTGCTGGACTCGAGGTATGTTTTTTGTACTGCTGCTTGAATGATGTTCTTCTGCTTCTTTTGTTGTGTCCTATTATGGATTATTAGGAGATGGTTTAATCTTAGTGTATATGCATATGAGCTATGTTGATCAGTCTGTTATTTGTACATCAGTCTTCTTACAACGTGTAACTTGTAGTGAACTGCCATGAAATAATATGTTTTATTTCGTAAACTTTTCTGATCATGTGAGCAGAATGCTGCTTTCCATGGGGAAATGGTATACAAATAAGCTATGATGAAATCAGAAGAAGGAAGAAACTGCACGTACACCCCAACTCCTTGATTCTATGCTCAGCCTGCATGTTTGCAAATAAAAGCAAGTCTTACAATAGGCCTCCTTCCAAAGAGAACGCAAAACTATCCTGGCTGCACCCCTGCAGCTACTTGGAGAAGTGGGATGAGCGTGTTTAGAGTCCTTTTTGGCAAGGGTAGCTAACCTGCAGCTCACCAGATATTTTGGGACTCCCAGTATGGCCAGTGGTCAGGGATGATGATATAGCTACAGCCCAGCAACAGCTGGAGGGCCACAGGTCTAGGTACCCAGTACAGGCTGCTCCATTAAGCTGAACAGAGCACTGTCTTACCAACCTCAGCCTGCCCTTTGCCAGCCCCCACCCACCTACATTCTTACAAATGGGTCAAGGAGTAGCATGGACTATCAACTTCCACCTCCTTAGCCTTGGTGTTGCTCTTGCAGAATTAAGCAGAGAGGAAGTTGGGGACAAAGCTAACATTAATTGGCTCTGCCTGTTACTGGCTCTGACTCCACCTACTGCTGGACTCTCTGGGTTCAGTCCTACTGTAGCTGCCCCTGCCTTATGAAGTGAGCAGATGCAGAAGGGGGGAGAACTTCTGCACCTTTAATTATAGTTGCACCTGCAACTTGTCCAGCCCCCTTCTCCACCTCCTGAAATTACCATTTCTGTCCCGTGTTTATTAAAGATGCAGGGGCCCTATCTCCTTTTACATACAGTCCCTCTAATTCCTCATTAGAGGCATTCATCTCCTTAGGTTAAGGGTTACATTAGGGGGTTCACCCAGTGGCGTAGCGTGGGTTGTCAGCACCCGGGGCAAGGCAAGTAATTTGCGCCCCCTAACCCGTGGATTTTAGCAGGGGGCAGAGAGCTGCGAGTGCGAGCGCCCCCCCAGATGTTGTGCCCGGTGCGGCCAGCCCCCCCTGCACCCCCCACGCTATGCCACTGGGTTCACCTTTTTCTGAGAAGGCTGCTGTGCCTTCAGTAGTTAGAGTTATCCTAGTCTTTGTCTTGACAGAGCCACTATGCTTTTTCTAAGGAGTGACAAGCCCTTGGAACTGGGATTTGTCAACCAAAAAAAGGCAGCCTGAACTTCATCCTCTCCCCTTTCCAAATCACTGTGTGTCTTTCAGTCAGTATGACATGGACATAGGCTTCTCTTGCAGAAACTCTGAAATTCACAAATTTGGCAGCTCCACAAGGTGTGTTACATACCTGTCAGAAGTGTGATTTTACCTCCTTGGCAAATTCCCCTTATGCTTGGCAGAAAACCTTATTGTTTGAGATAGCAGAGCAAGTCATTTTCTCAAAGCGAATGTATTCTCCTAGCCCAAAATCATTCAAATAACCCTCCTCTCACACAAATTTGCTTGAAAACAAAGTGTACTTAAGATATAAGTTTAGATAGAAAAGATGGCGATCTGAGTTCATACTAGGTAATTGCACTGTCAGGGACTCATCTTTGGATTTGGACTGCAGTTGTGAAAGGAATTTTGGTTGCCTGGGTGCAAACCTTGAGGCAGAGCTCCTTCCCAAATACCACCATATTCCACTCCTTGAAGAGGTGATTTCTGACACCTTTTATTTCTTGTAGAAGAAGGGACCTTTTACTTCTTAGCTTAGAGCATAAGTCTAAGCTAAGAATGTTAACAACAAATGCTGCCACGCACCCCAATAATTTTGCACACCTATTTCTCTTGCAATAAAAGAAAGTGTTGCTTTAGTTTGGTTTAGATCTATGTACTCGGGTTACATACACACATCATTCAGGCACATTATTTCTGGGCAAGTACCTGGTACATCTCTAGCAAAAGATTCCCCTCCTCTCTAGGAGTTGTGTTGATAAGTGGGGAACAGGTTCACTTACAAGGGTTCCCAACAGTCACATGTGTTAACATATTTAACAGACGCATGATTGGGAGTCGAGGTGGGAGGATGACAATCTGCAGTGAGAGATGTGATGATGGAGATACTCCACCTGTTGTATTTCTGCCTGTTGTGCATATGTTTAAATTACAGGCGCCCTCCTGGAACAAAGGTGGAAACTTTGATTATTATAGGCTGGGCAAGTTGCTCAAGTTCAAGGGACACCCCAGAACAAAGGTTGGCCCTCTAAGGATGTCCTTGAGCCAAGATATCTGATAAGGGAACTTAATAATTCCCGTGGCTAATCATTAAGTCTGCAGAGTAATAATAATAATAATAATTTTTATTTATACCCTGCCCTCCGCAGCCAAGGCTGGGCTCAGAGCGGCTTACAAGCAATAATAAAAACAAGTTGAATGATTACAACTTAAAAACAAAATTAAAATACAACATTAAAATATTGAAACATTAAAACATTAAAATATTAAAATATTAAAATGTAGCCTCATCGCAGGAGGAGAAGGAAAAGAAAAAAGAAAGTGCGAGAGGGAATCAAATTGGCTCCAAGGTGGAACAACTCTGTCTTACAGGCCCTGCGGAAAGAAATCAGATCCTGCAGGGCCCTGGTCTCATGAGGCAGAGCGTTTAGTAGCAGGAGTGCTGGGAGTAGCAGGAGCTGGCTCTGGGGGACTGGAGCTAACATATCCGCAGCTGTACCTACTTCAAGGATCCCACAAAATCTGCTTTCATTGTCGGGTCTCAACTCTAAACGAGGAAGAAATTTCTGAAAGAATACTACCCTTGGTTTAACAGCAACTGAGATCCTGGAAATAATGGAACGTAGCCAATAGTCATTTCTGAAACAAGCACAGAAATATTCATTAATTACTGGAACATACAGCACCACACATCCACACATTCAACACACATTCAAAGCACATGGCTTCCTGAAAAGAATCCTGGGTACTGTAATTTCCCTCAATTCACTGTCAATCAGCAAGGCAGAGCAGTTGACGCTTATCCACTGCTACCCATTGTAATCGCTGCAGCTTACTGGGAGAGGTGAGGCAGTGCTGAAGTTGTCATGGTGCAAACACACCAGCAGAGCTAATTCGGTGCTCCCACCAGTGTGTTTGCACCACAAACCCTCCATTCCTTTCCCTCCCAATAAGCTGCAGCAATGCTGGTGACAGGAGGTCAGGGAAGTGCCACCAACCCATTGCCTGCTAACCAAAATTTTAGGCTTGTGCCTAAAGTGCTCTGGCACAATAAATCCACTTTTAAAAACCCACAACTTTTTGCAATTAGGGCAGTGACAGGCAAGTGCACTAAAAAGTGTGGGATAAACATGATTAACGTGAAGACATATAAGCACTGCACAAATCAGTCAGGATGAATGCTCTTCCCTGCAAACGATTCAGAAAGTTTCTGGCAGAAACGCTCAATAAAGGCCGAACACAGCATATTCTATTTATGTTTGTTTTTAAACCATTGCTCCGCCCCAGGTTTTTAGCTGTAAGCCGCCTTGAGTCCCTGTCAGGAAAAAAGACGGGATATAAATAAATTTAATAATAACCTTCACTCCAGTTTTGTGCAAGCAAAAAATCATTGGGCGGGTGCAATAAAAAGGACGCCTGGAGGCGGCGGCGCCCCCCCCCCCCCCGCGATAAGCACTGCTCCCAAGCAAGCAACTCGACACCAAATCCAGGGCACCGCTCAGGATGTGCAGTGGTTACTTCGCTTCTGCTTTGTTCCGTAACCATCTGCTGCAAAGCACAATCGCTTATCGTCTGCAGCGCAGAAGGGCTCAGTTGGGTACGAAGGTTAGTTGCCTTTTAAATTTTGAAAAGAGGGTATGCAGCTACCTTTCCGACAAAAGAAGCTTTTCCTGAAATACGCAAGCAGCTCCCGGCTCCTCCTCCTCCCCTTCTTCTTCGCCTTCTTTAGGTCAGTCCCGCCCAGCTGGCCCCTCCCTCTCCCTCTCCTCCCCCGCCTGACTTTCAGTCCGCCGGAGCCATGGCGAAGTTGGGAGGCTTCTCCGGGAGGCTGCTGCGGCGCTGCCTGGGGTCTCAGCCAGGGTCTCCGTGCCCCGATCTAGCTTGCAGAAGCGCATCCAGCGCCGCGGAGGCAGCTTCGGTCTCCCAGCATGAGGAGCGGCTGAAGCGGCCGGAAGAGTTGCCCGGGCCGGGGATCCTGGGATCCATCTATTGGCTCTTCGTGAGGGGCTATTTGCTCCACACGCACCGCCTGCAGGTGAGAGATGGTCGACGGTGGGGCACCTCGGGCAGTGGGGACGGGCAAGAGGGGGCATATCCCAAGGGATCTTACCTGGTGATCTCACCTGGCGTCGCCAGTCCACCTGGCGTCGCCCAGCTGAGCCAATCCGGAGCCAGGGACGTTGCCAGGTAGAATTTATATGAATCTGTTCCTCTGGGAAGATGAGACTTAAGGCTGACGTCCTGCCAGCACTGTTGCCCAGTTGCCCTATAAGGGAAGCTATCTATGTGTTGTTTTCAAGGAGGAGATTGGCAGGTGATCCTGTGCTCCTCATAAAACACCTGGTGCTTAGGGGGTCCAAAGATGCGCCCTAACAGTGTCCCTGCCCTGGGCATTTAGGATGGTTAGGGGACTCACAGCCAGTTTGGGACAGAAGCCTGGGCCCTCCAAGAACAAGAAAGCTGATATACCACATCTGGAAGTTAGTGAAGTAGTGTACAGCTGAAGAGGAGACTCTGTAAGAGTATTCGCTACAGAGTTTTTAATTGCTTTTTAAAGCATTGCTGGCAGCACAACATGTAGCCTGAATACGCACTCTGATATGTCTGCTCAGAAGTGAACTGGTCTTTGACTCTAATAAATTATTATTATTATTAATAATAATAATAATAATTTATTACTATTACTCAGAAGCTCCAGTGAGTGAAATGGGCCTTACTCCCAAGTGAGAGGAGCTAGGACTGCAGCCTAAGTGTTTTTCCCCATCTGCCAATAACCTGATAGGCTTCTCTGAGATAAAACATTGTGCCTGCGTTATGGTCCTGCCGGCCATTGGCCATGCTGGCTGGGGCTGATGGGAGCGGGAGTCCCAACAACTTCTGAATCCCTGTTCTGAAAGGATGTTAGAGGAATTAACACCAATAACCTAAGAACTGGAAAGGTGATCAGATAGCTAGGCATGGAAGGAGTTTGATCTACTGTGTGGCTTCAAATAATGAAGGAGGACCTAAAGGCAGGGCTTCCACTGCAGGGGGGAAAGTGTTGGCTACTCAAGGGCTGTGACTGAATCCATTCTTGGGAATTAATATTGGCCACATTCCAGTGACATTCGGGGTTCAAGGGTTCAGCAAAACAGTAGCTCAGTCCAAAGTATACCAAGACAGAAAGTTTAAAGAAGGGGAAATAGTCTCCCTCACTTTCAGATACCTAGCCTGTGGTCCTCCAGATGTTGATCCCAGCCACAGCCAGGATGACTACTTTAGCTCAGCAGTTTAACAGGCTTGATTCCATACAAACTATAGTAGTAGGGAGGGTGGAGTAAGAGTTTCATAACCCAGCAGCAGCAGCAGATTTATTAGATTTCCTCACCACAAAGTCCTAGGGCAGGTAACAGCCCTGTACAAATACAATAACGAAAGGTGCCAAGAGATCACAAGGGGATAGGGAGCAAATCAACTGGCGGACATGACAAAACTGGATAGCAAAAGTCAGTTCTCAGTGGCTGTTTTCAAGGTTTATAAAAGAATCAAGAAAACTCTAACTTGTGGCCATTAGTAAGCGGCCTATAGGCATGTTTACAAGTTTTGCAAACATTTGGTTTTCCTGAAGGCTCTGTGAACTCAGCTAACACTAGAACTGCTGTGATGCAAGGAACAAAGGCTTTTCTTCTTCTTTTTTTCTTGTTTTTACAAACTGTATCTTCTTGGGAAAGTTGCCAGTTCCCTAACATGAGAAATTGGTACAGCGAGAACATAGCTTCTTATGTGGCACTGCTTTTGAATTGTTCTTAGGTGAAAACTAGGGCCAAAGAACTCAAATGGTGGTTATTTCTAACCATTGAGGTATGTTTGGTGTGAGGTCCTGTAACCAAGAGTTGACTACCGAAGCAATTCTGCACATGGACTTTGCTTTGGAAGGAAGTTCCCCTGGGTTCAGTGGGCCTTATTCCTGTATGCATAGGACTGCAGCCTCAATTAAGGAGAGAGAGAGACAAAGAGAGAGAAAAACTATTACGTTCTCCTTAGAGTTTATCTATGTGAAAGCCAGTCTCCAGGACTCATCACCCCCTCACATCCCCAAGAAACCGAACATAAGACTGTTGAAAAAGTAGCAGACTCTATCCTTAGAGGTTCCTATTAGGTTCTCTGCTTTAAGGTAAACATCTTGCAATGGGAAAGTCTGTAATTAGTATATCATGCCTGTCCTCCAAGTAGCTCAGAGCAGCAAACATAATTGCTGTTATATCCTGAAAACAATGCTGTAAAGTAGGTTAGACTGAGATTTAAGATTCAGTACAAACTCCATTTATGCAAGCCTTTTGGGAGATGGGACTGAATGGAGGCAGCCAGGTGGGGAAATGCTTGTGTCTTTCTGCCAGCACAAACCTCCAAATGGGTGAGATGCTAAAGGACCTTGAAGGGGGGAGGGGGGAAGCTGTGTCAGCTTGGTGTCGGCTGAATATAAAGCTGTGCTCACAGCCAGTGCTGGCTAGTGGAGGAACTGATCTGGACCCTATTTGCCTGCTCCCCCTTCTTTTCTGCTGCTGTTACTGCTGCTGCAGTGAGTGTCCAGCCCATCATTCTTCAGAGCCTGGTTAGGATTGCTTTCTTAGTGACTGGCCTAAATTCACACAGCCACATTTATGGACGAGTAGAGATTCGAACCCAGGTTTTGCCAGTCGTTTGTCACTCCGGCCACTATAGCATGCTGTCCCAAATCACACTGATTGTTAGAGAAGGGGCCACCCTAAAAAAATAGTGTAATCAGGAGCAGGTACAGTGGGACCTCGGTTTATGAACTTAATCCATTCCGCAAATCCGTTCTTAAACCGAAACCATTCTTAAACTGAGGTGTGTTTTCCCTAATGAGGCCTCCCACCGCCGGTGCCCTTCCACCGGTCAGATTCCGTTCTTAGACCGAGGTAAAGTTTGCAAACTGGGACACTACTTCTGGTTTTGCGGAGTTCGTAAACCGAATAGTTCGTAAACAGGGCTGCTCTTAAACCGAGGTACCACTGTATTAGTTTTAGCCCACTCTAAAACGGGCCATCTCTTATCTAGGAAGAATGCCCTATAATAACCTGAGGAGAACAAGATCAAAGAGTCAGTAAGGATTTATTGATTACACTGGTTGAAAGCAACTATTGTGTAAGGAGTTCAACACCATCACCTGGTATTTACTGTAGTTATGAAATGGCAGAAGCAAAGCATCAAAGCCAGAGTGGTGGTGCTGTATTTCCTAACCAACCTTTGCCCGGGGCCCAGTTTACAGCTACTTCCAAAAATAAATAGAACTCCATGCTCTCACAGTGAGCCAGTGTGGTACTGTGGTTAGATTGTCAGACTAGGACCTGGGAGACAAGGGTTCAAATCCCCACTCAGCCATGAAGCTCACCTTAAGCCAGTCACTGCCTCTCAGCCTAACCTACCTCACAAGGTTGTTATGGGGATTAAATGTGGAGAACCATGTAGACTCCCCTGAGCTCCTTGGAGAAAAAGGTGGGATGTAAATGCTGGATCCCACTAGCGCAGATATTTAGTTGAATCCAGCCCCAAATATCTCCTCTTGTCCTGACTAAAAGGTTGGGAGCGGGAGTGAAAATATTGGATATAAAGCAAGCTAGAAAACAGGGTAGTTAGAAGGCTGCAGAGCTGGCAACTTGCAGAAATGCCAAATAAAGAAGGGATTGAAACACTTTATTTTTTTACGTATAAATAAATAAATAAATAAATAACCATAACATTTTCACACATTTAGAAAAAGGTTATTTCAAACCTTGAGACCTCCTTCCTTCCCTCCGTGGGGTTCCAATTCTAAATTTTATTCCTGCATCTTTTACTGTAATCTATCTGATATATAATCATAGTATCCAAAATCACAGCTGTTATCACAGCTGGGCACTGCAGGAGGAAGGAACTTGGGGAAGACTCCAAAGGGACCCCAGAGCTGAACTGAGGAATGCAAGCTCTAAACTAAGCAAAACAAATGAAAATGGCAGCATGTCCTTGCTGAGAAGGAAGTGGTGTGATGCTTCTAGGTGTATATGGCATTTTCCTAACCAGCATGTGGACTTAATTATTGCCCTCAGCAATAAGGGCAGTCATGCAAACATTTATGATTATTCAGAATGGGCTGGTGTCAGGGCTAATCCCACTGACTGTGTGTGTCTCTTCCAGGTCATTTCCAGGAAGAAGTATGGCCCCATTTGGCAATCTCGGTTTGGCCCTTATGTTAACATTAATATTGGCAGTCCTGAAGTCCTCGAGCAGCTGTTGCGTCAGGAGGGGAAGTATCCCATCCGAAGTGACATGGCCCTCTGGAAGGAGCATCGGGACGTACGGCACTTGGCCTATGGCCCCTTCACTGAGTGAGTGTGTGAAGCGTTCCATCCCATATCCTGTCGCTACTGTGTGGGCATATCAAGGGCAGCTTCTGCAAGGGGAGGCATAGTCTTTGCATAGCATGCATTTTATTTTTCTATGATGGTTTGATATTTCCAAGGCTGTGTATAATGTAGACTTTTATTTTTTTTAAAGAGTGGGAAGAAGCAGTTAAATTCTACAATTTGATTCAATGAATCAAATTTGCACGCTTGGATACTTTGTATAATTTGTTCCGGCAATTATGGGAAAGGCACAGTGCTTTCAGGGCACACTTACATCTGGAATGGAACAGAAAAGCACATTCCAGATACCTTATCTCCAGCTCCTCGCACTGGTGTGGATGGCAAGGTGTGGCATAGCAATGAATACCATGAATGAGAAGCAGGGAATGTGCGCCAGTTGTGCACAAAGGAAAATCAGATATGATGTTGCAAGAAAATGCCTTCCTTTGGAAGCATCCGTATTAATAGCAAAGTCAGTTCTCCAAATGCCAACCCCTTTGCAGCCAAGATGGTACCACACAAATAGGAGGAGGAGGGGAAATCACAAGGTTTGCCAAAGTATAATGAAGATTCTTTAGGGGAGCACCCCAAACGAGCTCAGTGAGAATGAGCACACAGAGTGGACATGGAATGCCAACTGACTGTTGGGGAAAGAAAACTGGGGTAGGAGGGGGAATGGAAAGGATTATCCTAGAAAAAGGCATGGCTGGCTTGCTGCAACCCTGAACAGGAACTCTCCACACCGCAGCATCTTGTAGGTTGCACTTGCATGGGGTTCTTTGCTTCTACCCCTTTCAAATTTTAATAAATAAAACCAAACAAACATTTGTTTTATGTTGCAAAACTACTTCTGAGATTGGAAAAGGAAAGTATTAGTGGCTTAATGGGTACCAACCAATCAAAACCTTCCACAGTTGACTTTCATTGCAAACTTACAGAACCCATACAGTATATAAATTTTTTTGAAGTTGGGGTTTTTTAAAGACTTTGCAGCTGTCTGCTGTTCTGTGCCTCTCCCTGTCAGCCAAACGAACAGGCTAGCCATTGTAGGCTAAAGGATTTCTTAAGTGATGAAAGGGTTTCCAAAACCCTCCTATTCCCTGCAGTCAGGGCTGCCTAAACATGCCCTGTGGCAGAGAGGGTTGGACTGTAACTCCCATTATCCCTGGCCATTGACTATACTGACTGGAGCTGATGGGAGCCCCACAACATTTGGAGGGTCACAAGTTTCCTATCAATGAGGAGTGATTCCAGAGCAAAACCATGAACCGATACTGGCAAACTGAGAAATATTCCAAGGGATATTTGTTGTGGGAGAGGAAGGGAAAGGAGATTGTTAGCTGCTTTGAGACTCCTTAGGGTAGTGATAAAGCGGGATATCAAATCCAAACTCTTCTTCTTCTTCTTATTTCTTACATGGATCCAACTGTCTCTCTCCTCAGGGATGGAGAGCGGTGGCACCGCCTGCGGCAGGTGCTGAACAAGAGAATGCTCAAACCTACAGAGGCCGTTTTGTATGCGGGTGCTATCAATGAGGTGGTGTCAGACCTGATGGTGTTTCTGGAGAATGAGAGAAAAAAGAGTCCCTCAGGGATGGTGGTGCAAGATATGGCCAGTGTATTGTACCGATTTGCCTTGGAAGGTGTGTGGACAGTTACGATGCTGTAAACAATTTCCTTTCAGTGATTATTCTGTTATTCTCATCGTACAGCTGATGGGTAGGTGGAAGAGGAGCTCTTCAGGTGTCAGGTAGGTCTAAGTGTGACCCCATGCATGTGAAGGAAATCTTTTGATTATGGGCCCCACTGACCCTGACATTACATGCATTGTTTCATTTCATTGCGGCAGCTAGACTGGTGACTGGGAGTGGCCGCCAAGACCATATAACACCAGTCCTGAAAGAACTACATTGGCTCCCAGTACGTATCCGGGCACAATTCCAAGTGTTGGTGCTCACCTTTAAAGCCCTAAATGGCCTCCATTCAGTATACCCGAAGGAGCATCTCCACCCCATCGTTCAGCCTGGACACTGAGGTCCAGCTTCGAGGGCCTTCCAGCAGTTCCCTCACTGCAAGAAGTGAGGTTACAGGGAACCAGGCAGAGGGCCTTCTAGGTAGTGGCGCCTGCCCTGTGGAATGCCCTCCCATCAGTTGTCAAAGAAATAAACAACGATCTGACTTTTAGAAGACATTGGAAGGAAACCCTACAGTGAGAAATTTTTAATATCTAATGTTTCACAATTGTTTATGTGCTGTAAGCCGCCCAGAGTGGCTGGGGAAACCAGCCAGATGGGGTATAAATAATAAAATTATTGTTGTTGTTATTATTATTCATTGACTAGTTGACTTGAGTGGGGCTAAGCACCAGCAACTGATTACAGGATTCAGCTTAAGAAGGTTTTCCATTTTCCATTTAATAACCCCAAATGTTATTTTTTCATAGAAACATTCTCTCTCTCTTTTAAAGCAACACTTTCCCCCTCTGCATGTAAGAGTAAGAGGGGGTAATCAGGAGAGAACAACTTTTTCCTAAAATACTGAACAATTCAAAATGTTTTTCTTTAAAAAATAATAATCAGGAAGTGTATACCTTGTTTGATCTAGCACTGGGGAAATCTATGGCCCTTCAGAAGGTGCTGGACTCCAACTCCTATCAGCCCCAGCCAGCATGGCCAACGATCAGGAATGATGGGAGCTGTAGTTCAGCAACATCTGGAGAGCCACAAGTTCCCCACTCCAGAAAGCAGACCAACTCTTTGGGGAATATAGTCAGATGAAAAATGGCAAAGGAAGGGATAGTTAGAAGTTTTTGTGTCTGCCACAATGGGGATCCATGTTTTTGGTGTTAATGTGTAACAGCTTATCCTGAAAAGTCCAGTCTTTTAAAAGTACACAACTTGTGGCTGGATAGACCCTGCCATCCCTGGAGAGATAGGCAAAAAAAATTTACAAAATTGCCCAGCTAAACGTGGCAGCCATCATATACCCTCCTCTCCCAGCAGCCAAGCTCATTCCAATACTTTTGGTCTGACAGTCCACAAGTTCAAGTTTATTGCGGCCAAAGCCAGTGACACTAAACACCATAAGATCAGACAACAAGAAATTAGCAACAACTTCAGAAAAGAAAAAAGGTTACACAAGAGAACTTCACAATGTGCCATTCAACAGAAGAGATTTACGCTTCTTAATTACTAAAGTGCAAAATTTAGCCACCTCATATGATACTGAGCTTGAGGAATCTTCCAGGAGGTATTTTCGAAGAATTTCAGGGGAGGATTCCAAATAATATTGAAGGGGTATAAATTTTGATAGAAGTGGTAAAATAAGTTGAACTCGTTCTTCACTATAGAATTCGCAAGATAGAAGAATGTGTGTGACAGATTCTACCTTATTAGACATACAAGGGCAGAGACGCGCATGCATTGGAACTCGCGTGAATTTGCCGTACAGCACTGCTGAGGGCATTGTCTCAAAGCGGGCTCTAGAGAAAGCCCATCTATAGGTTTCGTTAGTGATGTTAGTTAAGTAAGGGGCAGCTGCAAAATTAGGCCAAGCTTTTAAACATCTATACGTCTCTGGGAGTAGGGCGCCTTCTTGTTGTAATTCGATATCATAAAGTCTCCGAGTGATAGTAGCTTTTGCCTTGTTCAGAGTTCCAATAAAAATATTTTCAGGGTTTAGGCCAATTTGTTTGATCTTGTTAGTTATTTGCATAAGCCAAGGAGGATAGGGAACTGCGGCCAGGAAGCAAGGTAATAGACCCTTAGGATTGTAATGGATTTTCAGCCAGAGGGATATTGCTTGTTCCCAGACTTTTAATTCCACTCTGGGCAGTCCTGCCTCTTGCCTTAAGACTGCATTAGGTGTACACTTAGGAGTAGCAAATAATGATCTTAAGAATTTAGATTGTACTGTTTCAAGGGTCTTAAGGTTGGCAGAGGGGCTAATTTGAGAGCCATATAGAAGTTGGGCTAAAGATTTTGCCTGAAAGACTGTTAGGGCCATCGGGAGGAAGCCAGCTCCTTTCCTTCTGAATAATCTAAGGATAGCATTTGCACTTCTTTCTGCTGATATAGCTGATGTGGTCAAGTGTGTTGAGAATTTGGCATTATAAGAGAAAGTAATGCCTAAGTATTGGAAGGTCTTAGTCTGTTCAATGGCGTTTCCCTTTACGCTCCAATTATCCTTCCTAAAGGAGCGGTTAAAATGTACAATTTTGGTTTTGGCAAAGTTAATTGTTAACAGTTCAGTGTTACATTGGTCACTAAACTTTCCTAAGGCACGTTTCAGACCCACTTTGGTTTGAGAGAGAAGAACAGCGTCATCCGCATACATTAAAATTGGTACTTTTCTGCCATTAGAGAACACAGGGGGGTGGGTTTCAATTTCACGGCAGCATGTGACCAGGGAGTTAACATAGATATTAAATAGGAATGGGGCTAATAGGCATCCTTGTCTAACTCCTCTTTGGACTAGGATTTCTCTAGAGAGTCTGCCGTCCTGTGCAAGTCTTATCTGGAGGGTATTGTTCTCATGAAGCTTAATCATCAGAAGTAATAACCTTCTGTTAATACCCATATTGGCCAATTTGGCCCAGAGCCTGCTCCTGGATACAGAATCAAATGCTGCCTTTAGGTCCACAAAGGCCGCATATAATGACTTTTTCCAATATTTCGCATACTTATAGACAAAGTAATCTAGCACTAAGCAGTGATCAATGGTGGAACGTCCGGATGTAAACCCTGCTTGTTCAATTTCTAGCAAGTTATTATGATCTAACCATTCCCATAATTTTAGGCATAGATGTTTTGTATAAAGTTTACAGATCACATTCAGGAGACTAATTGGTCTATAATTAGATGGATCAGAGGGGTTGCCCTTTTTAAATATGGGAACAATTATAGCTAGTCCCCAATCTTTAGGGATTTCAGTTGTCTTATCTATATATGAAAATAGATTAGCAAGGACCGGGGCCCACCAGTTTATTTGCGCTTTCAGAAGTTCAGCGACAATGAAATCACTTCCTGGGGCTTTGCCAGATTTCATTTGTAGAATTAGCGAAGTGATTTCAGTTTCAGATGTTGGGGGCCATGGTGTATCATTATCTAAGGGGATGTTAAGCGGCGCAGAAGGACGATGTTCCCTAAACAGCACTTTATAGTGCTCTTCCCATGAATTTGCAGGGATTATTGTGCCCTCATTAGGAGCTTTGGTTTGACTGGAGATAATTTTCCAGAAGTTGGAATTGTCTTTTTCTATTGACGCTTTTATGAGGGCCTGCCAAATGAGAGAGTCTGCGGTTCTTTTTTGGTTTTTAATAACTCTTTGTAGTTCTTTTTTTAAGTTGTAACTCCAATTTAGTGATAGGGTTAGGATTTTGCTGGAAGACCTTAAAGCATTCCCTGAGTATAAGTTTTGCCTGAGTGCATTCGTGATCAAACCATTTTTTGTTGGTAGGGGAGTCATTTTGGTTAGATCTTCTGGGTCTTGACAATAACGGTTGGAGTTTCCGGATTAATGTATTATAATGGTCAATCTGACAGTCCACAATTAATATATTGTTCCAAGTACAAGCAAACCCTTTGGAGATATTCTTTCTAATGTGATTATAGTTCTGTGATGGGATATCAGGGCCGTTTCCTCAAGTCTTCCCATCTGTGCTTTCTGCTTCCAGGCATCTCCTACATCCTATTTGAGACCCGCATTGGCTGTTTGGAAAAGCAGATCCCTGCTGAAACACAGAACTTTATCCATGCAATTGGATACATGCTGAAGAACTCCATCTTTGCTACTATCCTGCCCAAGTGGACCCGGGATGTGCTGCCTTTCTGGAACCGCTATCTGCAGGGCTGGGACACAATCTTTGCCTTTGGTATGTCAAGAGTGGGGACAACTCTGGAATTACCAGTCAATCATCCCTCACTTTCTCCCTTGAGAGTGGGAAGATTCGTAATCTAAGGTTTCTCAAGTGCCTGTGGCAGTAGGCCAAGAAGTCAAAGGTGAGTGGTAGATATCCAGCCCACGTGGTAAATGCTGTCATGAACAGTCCCAGGATTGTGTCCCCATGGTAACAGCAGGCCAAAGGTGAGTGGTAGATACCCAACCTGTGTGGAGGATGCAGGAATGATCAGGCCAGACCTGTGTTCTCATGGTAACAGATGCTATTTAATTACTCCAGGGAAAAAGCTGATTGATCAGAAGATGCTGGAGGTTGAGAAGTCTCTGGAGAAGGGTGAGGTTGTCTCAGGCTACCTAACTTACCTACTGTCCAGTGGGCGGATTAGCCATGAAGAGATATATGGCAGCATAGCTGAGCTACTCCTGGCTGGCGTAGACACGGTAGGACATTGATTTCTTAGCCTTCCTTACTTGAGTGCCCACCCCAAAATGTAATGACCAAAAATGCAGCTTACAAGCAATATCACACTACATAAATAAAACAAACCATCAGGAGCCAACCCACAGAGCAGTTGGTGTTAGGTGGCTCTTGGGTGGGGGGTGGAGGACCATGATGTCTCCTTGCCCTGCATCCCTCAATACGCATTTTTTAAAAAAAAATTATGGGAAATGTAAAAATATAGCAAACTGCTGTGTTCCTTCATGATAAGCTTTTGGAAGAGATTTGACTGCCACAGGCTAGTCACTGTCTGATTCTTTGGGATGGTCACATATATCATTCCAAGATTTTCTCCTGCCTTTGCTGCCTGGATGTAGCATCTTCACTGCTTTGCTTTGCCCTTTCAGACATCAAATACCCTTTCATGGGCCATGTATCACCTGGCCAGAGACATGGAGGTCCAGGAAGCCTTATACCAGGAGTTGATCAGTGTGGTACCCGAAGATCAGATCCCTGAGGCCAAGGACCTCACCAGGATGCCACTGCTTAAGGCAGTGATCAAGGAGACTCTTAGGTAAGGGGCCTTTTTCATTGTTCCAAGGAGCAAGATCACAGGCCTGGACTTTGTGGCTCCCGGGGCTTCATCTTGCCCAGAGTGGTTCCACCCATTTCCCATTTATGCTTCTGTAGCTTCTGAAGAGCCTTCCTTTGTTCTGATGCACAGTGACAGCCCTCCCTCCACTAATGTCCTTATAGGCTTTACCCTGTGGTCCCCACCAATGCCCGAATCATCGCAGAAGACGATGTTGTTGTTGGAGGATACAAGTTTCCAAAGAATGTGAGTAGTAATGTATTCCTGATGTTGCAACTCGAGGCATTTGTTAGTGGCCAGAAGTGGATGTGGAATAAAAGGGATGGGGCTGTCACTGAATTTTGACATATAGGCAGTTCATGAAGGGAAAAAACAACAGTGGGGGAATGCAAGACTTGAACTAGGTGAAGGCTGTATGTACATATGTCAGAATGGGTTAGCATTGGTTAAGCTGCCCTGATGGGAAATGGTAAACTGCATGGCAAGAATATCGCTTTGCCACCAGCCCTCATGTTGCTATGGGGAATCGACTGTTGGAGAGCAAAGTCTTTGTCATTTGCTAACTCTCTGTGCTTCCCACTGGCCCCTCCAGACCCTCTTTGTTTTGGCCCATTACGCTCTCTCGCATGATGAGTCCAGCTTCCCGGAACCAGAGCGCTTCCTGCCACGTCGCTGGCTGCGAGATCAGAGGGACTTGCCTCCCCACCCCTTCAGCTCCATCCCCTTTGGCTATGGGGTGCGTGCTTGTCTGGGGCGCCGCATCGCTGAGCTCGAGATGCATTTGGCTCTTGCCAGGGTGAGTTACTTCTGTGGGGGCAGAGGGGGTGTCCTTTGGGAAGAAGGGCAGAATATGAATACAGTATAATAAACAAGAAACAGGGCAATGCTGTGGCCCAAGAGGTCATCACAGCTGTAGGCATATTTGATTACTTGTGTTTGGTGGGTGGGAATGAAGCTTTGCCCCAAAATAAGTCAAGCTTTTCTCTTTCCAGCTTATCCGGATATTCTTAATCAGACCAGGTCCACGGTGTACAGAGGTGAAGCCCCTCTCTCGGATTGTGCTTGTTCCTGACAGACCCATTGACCTGGAGCTTCTTGACAGACGGACAAAGCTTTAAGACAGTGGGGGGGGGTCACAAGCCCATGGACTGGATCAAGCCCTCCAAGACTATTTGCAGTGGTCCATCTGCCCCACCTTCCTCCCCGTTGCAATGCTGGGCTGAAGAGGAGAGGTTCAAAGCTCTCCACCAAGCCCCGGATGTCTCGTTTCTCTTCTGTGTGTATGCGAGTGAGAGTGTGTGCTGTGTACTGAGTTTGTATACATGTGGGGTGAGTCTGTGTTTGGTGGCCATTTTGGCACTGATGGCTGCTAGAACGTGGCCCACAAAGGGTTGGCCAACTCTGAATGTAGCCCTCAGACCAAAACACTGGGTTGCCCATGCTTTAAGCAAACCTTGATCACCACTCCTGAACTTCATCTGGCTAGACTGTGAAGACTAAGCACTTAACATCAACCTTGTTTGTGCCTTGGCTGATCATCTGGTGGATCTCCCTGTACCCAAATCACCTCTGATACCATTTACTGGTATCAGATTGCTCTGCAATCTTCTCCTGTGAATCCTTGCAAAGCTTTGCACCACATTCTGTGCCTGATTGATTCTTTTGGTGGATCTGAGGAGTGGGGGGTGGGGTAGGAGTAGTTACTGTTAGCCAGTGTCCCTCAGAACTAGCTGACTGATTGCATCGACTTTTCTCTTCCCTGGGTTCCCAATACTCAGGTGTTTAAGAATGAAATTGTCACAGCTTGGTGGTGGCTATTAAAATCCTTGCTTCTACCCTACAACATGCAATCTTCTTTTTTTGATGGAGCTATCGTTCCTGGTATGTTTGTGCACGCACTCAGCAGTCTTTGGTCTGAAAAAGTTTTTCCACCCATATGCCACAATATATTTCTTATTTGTTTTTTAAACTTAATCCCACTTAATTTTCAAACAAATTCCAGCCATATCAAAATGTAATAGTTAAGTATTTCACATAATCCTGGAATGGCCCCTATTATTGTAAGTGGGATCTGGCTTTAAACCCTGTACACAATGTTCGTGGGCATAGCCAGGATTCATGTTGGGGGTGGGCTGTCTTCATGTTAGGGGGGCGGGCAGCTGCACCCATGACAATGTTCTCAGACCCAGATGGCTGCCAGGCCTCTCACTTTCTGCTTTCAAGAGTGTGGCATTGCTAGCTGAACACTGCTAGTCTGGATGAAGCACCCTGCTCCCCCAGCCCAGTGTTTGCCACTCACAGCACTTTCCTCCTTTGGACTTGGCCTACCCTTATTAGGATAGCTCTGCAGCTGAAAAGATGGCTGGAGGAAAGCTGGCAGGCGCTGAGGGGCATCCGGTCCAGAATAAATCATCCTTAAAGATGGGAGTGAAACTGTTTGATATTGCCCAAATAGGGGTGGAATAGAACTAGGTAGTGAAAGTGCAGGTGCCTGAGACCTTTGGGAGAGAGAAACCATGTTTATATCATCATCGTCGTTGTCGTCGTCATCACCACCATCATCTCCTACCTTTTTCTCCAAGGAGCTCAATATATGATGTACCTACTTCTTCCCATCCCTATTTAATCCCCACAACCATGTGACGTTAGGTTAAGAGGCAGCTAGAATACTCAAGAGCCAAGATGGGCAAACTGGAATGCTGGGGTTTAAAGGCAAGCGTAGCTATAGTGGGCATGATCCAAGCCTAGTGGAATGGAGAGAGTACCAGAGGGACCCAGTTATCGCTGGATAGGAATGCTAAAGGAAGGACAGGGAAGGATGTGCTGAAGGTGCTGTGCCTCTGAACTTCGAAGGAAGACACACGAGTCCAACAAACCAGAAATCCCAGAAAGTGGCAAGCTCCCTTGCAGAATCGCTGTGGGTAGAGATTCCAGGACCCCTGACCCAATCACACCCCTGAACAAAATGCCCAGGTACGCTGGAGATGGGGAAATGAAATCAAGGAGCCTAGCACCACCTTAAAAGAAGTAAAGCCAAAGTTTCACGGGCTGCAGGCCCCTTCCTCAGAAGCACAGCGCGATGTCTTGAGTGGCCGGGGAATGTGCACGTGGTTGGGGGCGGACGGGTATTGCCTGGAGGGAGCAGATGCCGAAAGTGCAGATGGATGGACAGCGGCCCCTCGCGAGAAGGAACGCCCTCGGTAATGCGAGCATCTTGGGCCTAAAGGTATAGGCGAAAAGGTGGCGCTCACCTGCTCCGGAATGGAGCCTCCCCCGACTTCAGGAAGGTCACGGAAGCTTCGTGGCGCAACTGTTCCAAGCCGGGGGAGGTAGCGGAGGAGATGGGGCCCGCACGTGCTCTTTCAGCCCCCTGGAGACGCGCTCGCTATTCTTAAAGTGGCGCAGAAATCTCCACCTAGAGAAACTCTCCTACGCCCCGACTGCCTTTGGAGCGATGGGCTTGGGATGCTTTGCCGCTCAGGTCTGGGCGGCGGGTGAGGGAAACCCCCTCGCCTGTTAAAGAGCCAGTGTACCCACATCTTTGCTAAGGACGAGGCCTAGCCACCCGCAGCCAGAGGGGGCTGAGAAGGCGCAACAACTTTGGAGGGGCCGCTGGTAGCTGAGCAGAAAAGAAAGGCTTTCCCTCGACTGAGAGCGGAGGGGGGTTTGTTGCCGAGATCCCCGTCCCTCCTTAAAAAGAGGCCGAATTGGCTCCCGGCTTTAATCCCGGGGATGGGTGGCGCTTTCTAAGTAGGCGGGTTGCTTAAAACACGCCGCGGCTCACCCAGCGGTTCTTCGATGGCGGAGGATGCTTTGTGTGGGTGGCTGCAGTACTATGGCTTGTTACCTCAGGTGCTGATTCACTGATGCTCTTAATTTGTTCCGCGAGCAGTCAATGTGTTTCCATATTCGCCTGACTGGAGTCTCTATGCCCTAGTAACATGTAAGTGGGATATAAGACGTTCTCCTGCACACACCCCACCCCGCGCCTTTTCTGTATTCTATATAGATTTGCTGAGGATGTTTTCTTAGAAAATGAAAATGTAAAGTGGTTCCTAGGCCTCCTCTTCAAGGCATATCAGGCCTCATTTCTGGAAGCTGTTCTAAAAGTACAGGGGTTGGGTGGAAGTGACATAGCAAAGACTCTCTCTGTACATGCTCAGGAGAAGCTTTTTCTTTGTTAGTGTTTAGCATCCACTAAAGGTGTTGGGCCCCTGCGGGGCTGGGGCCTACGCATACTTGGGTGTTGCCTGTTCTTCACTCCCTTAACTGGTTTTTGAAGCCCAGGGTGCCTTTGCTTCCCTCTCGACCCTTGTATCTTTAGCAGGATGAATCGCCTGTACCCGCAGCTGATGCGCCACATGGACCAGCTCTTGAGCCTCATAGAGTTCAACAGCAGCATCGAACTAGGTGGGTTGGCCAAGGTTCTCCTTCCTTTGCCTTTGACAAATCTGAACATATTGCTAATGGTGCTTGATGTGCATTAAGCAATGCACACAATGCCTTGGGGGCTGCAGCCTGACCCCCCCCCCCCCACTTCCATGAATCTTCAATGATTTTTGAGATGATGTTCTAATTGTAAAATACAAATTTTATCTGAAGTTCAGAAAACTTGCAAACTGCATTCTCACCCATTGCCCAGTTAAGAAGTAAGTGTAAACAGAACAACCTTTTGTTGTTCTGCCCAGTCAATGCAGAGAGACTGGGCTTGGCTGACAAGTATGTAGCTGTTCATTATTTGGATGTTAATGGCATTACAGTACTAAGCTAGCTGATATATTTAGATTGCTTGTAATTATGTTGTTACTGAACTGAATAAATCACCCCCTGCTGCTCATTCTTGGGCTCACATTGCCATGACAACAGTTCCCACTTCCTTTGATTTGTAGCCTGGCTTTGTTTTGTGTTTGTTAGCATTTCTCAGTGTTGTTGGTTTTGTGTTACAAAAATAGTTTGTGTCCCCATCCTGGCACTAAGCCATGCATGGAAACAGGTTCCAGGGTTGTCTTTCTTTATATCCTGCTAGAGGGGGTGGACAATCTCAGGCCCAGAGGTAAAATGCGGTCCTCCAGGTCCCTCTGTCTTGCCCTCAGGACTATTCCTGGGCTGAACTAACTATCACCACACTCAAGTGCTTTTGCCTGCTTGGCATATGCCCTTGTACTCTGACCATGTCTCTTATTAGCCTCTGACTTCTCCCGTACAAAGGCTGGTGACCACACCTGTTCCTCCATCCTCTTATGCCTCTGATCTTGCCCACTACTAACATACGGCCCTCAGAAGGGTACCTATGAGGGAATGTGGCCCTTTTGCTGAAAAATCCTCCCCTCTGCTGCCCTACTAGGGTCCTTTGCTATCCAGTGTCCATGTAGAAAGCTACTGTAGTGCTTGAAATTAAGGTCAGCGTTAGGGGTCGGCGTCATCAGGTGAACAAGGGTCCTGGTGCCAGCCTCTAAAGCCCTCTTCTTCTCCTTGCTCCTTGTTTACCTGTCCGATCCAGATCTGATCTACCCATGAGGTGGGATGAAGCTTATACCTCAGCAGGTGGAAGCACCTGAGGCAGCATCCCCGTGAGTGCCCCACCCACCCTACCTGCCACTTCCATCACGAGCAAGAAGCAGTGCCAGCCTTGGCACCGCAGGTGGCACAGTGGTGGCAGCAGGGCAGGGTGGCACCTCCAGTTTTGCCTCAAGTGTCAAAATGGGACATGCAGGCCCTGATCCCATCAAATGAAGCAACCAATGACAGGGAAGAGGAGCAATATTTCTGCTTGGCTTGCCCTGCCCACTTCTTCTGGGTGGCTCTTTAGTTTGGGCTTAAAGGGCAAGTAAATGGGCAGAGGTGGCAGCAGCAAAAAGGAGGTGGACCCATTGAGGACATATTATCCAGGCACTACCACCACCAGACATCTGAAGGTGATGCTGATTCTGAGCAGGACAAAACCAGGGTGGCAAGATTCTGGATGACTATATGGGTTTTCTCAGTTAGTGTCATCACATAATTGGGCTCAGGTCATAAGAGTTCTTTGGGATTCTCCAATCCAATTCATTGTCTAGTCCAAGGGGGGGGGGGTTTAATTTCAACCCTTTTTTGTATTTGCTTGTGTCATTTGCTTAAATGGCTCCACTGCTTTCTTAAAAACTCCACTTCCCATTAGCTCCAGTTAGCATTGGCAATGGTCAGGAATGATGGGAGTTGTAGTTCAATAGCATCTGGAGGGCCATGGTTTCACAATCACTGCCTTAGGATAGCCCTTTTGTGGTCATTGTAACATGCCATGAAATGGAGCAGGAAGTCAAAGGTACTAGGGTGGGTCGCATGAGTAAAACCAGTGTTGGCAGTTCTGAAGGAGCTGAGATTTCAGGACTATAACTGCACCACCTCTAAGCATCAGCATTGGCAGAGGTTTTTCTTTGATGACAACATGGTTGTTGTTGTTTTGTAAACCACTAAGAGATTTTCACAATCAAGCAGCATATAAATAAGCAGTGTTAAATAAAATGGCACCCCCATAATTTGTAGCCACTGCCTTCAGCTGTTCTTGAGCTCTTCTAGAATGACTCATTTGCTATGAATGTATTGCCAAAGATGTTGTTTTTATTCCAAACTATTCCAATTATTGACAACATAAGATGGAAGAAAGCATTGTCTAAATTTATCTGGCAAGGGAAAAAACGCAGAATTAAATATAAAATATTAACAGATTCAAAAGAAAGAGGGGGATTTTCCCTGCCAGACTTGAAGATATATTTTGAAGCTGCGGCTTTCTGCTGGATCAAGGAATGGATTCAACTAGATAATGCTGATGTGTTGAATTTGGAAGGATTCGACAATGTATTTGGT